AGAGAGAGAGAGAGAGAGAGAGAGAGAGAGAGAGAGAGAGAGAGAGCTGTTTCGTTCTTTTAACATCGGTACCGTACGTATACATATAAAACATTTTTGTGCTATTTGAACATATCCAGTTTGATTTTCGACAAAACGTTTGAAGAGACCCGAAGGAAATATTTTAAACGTAAAGATTTGAAACACCTGTTCTCCGTCGTTGATCCCAATAGTATTCTCGATTTTTATAAAGGCCATAGAGGCCTTTACCTATCTAGTGTAATTCCTGCAATTTTAATGAAATGTAATTTGAGGTTTTTTAAAGACAATTTGTTACAGTAAATATTTCACATTTTCACCTGACCATTCAACAAAATCAAACAGTGAAGGCAAGCAATTTGTGTTTCCAGTGCTCATATGACCTTACGTAGGTGCAAATGCCGTAAAACTCTATCTAAACCTAAACCTAAACCTTAATAACTTCCTTTGTCATGTAAATACAAGATCCCATCAGAAAAACCCCGAGATACTCGATAAAAATTTCTCCCCACTCAGGAGTCAAGCTCGGCGGGTTTCTTGTGTGCGATAGCGAGGCGCTTAATGTCTACTAACAGACCCGGAACTGGGCACCTGATTTTAAAGTCATTCCATCAGATAGAATCATGTGTGGGAATTCAGGAAAGTTTAAAAGTAGCCAAAGTCCAATAGCTATCCACTAATAAAGACTATTATTAAAGACTCGAACTGAGACCACCTGCAGACAAACATGGTAGTCACTGGAAGAGAGGGAGGGGGGGGGGCGGAGGGGGAAGGAAAGCAGACGGACGCGATTGACATTCAAGCATGAATAACATCTATCTTTGCGAAAAATAAAGAAAATAACTAAACAAGCGCCATCACTACTACCGCTACTACTACTACAAATGTTCTTAACGCCTTCTCATTACTTCCACCCCTGAGACCCTAGAACACTCAGAAACATCGTCGGTTTCCCGGGGAGCATAAAGTGCAATCTGCCATTTCACCGTACCTAAAACACTAGCTTTCTAGTCCACTGACAAGAACTTTCGCTGTCTCTGGCCGGGTACCCGAGTGAAGTAAGGAAAATTCGTGTAAAGTGCCTTTCTCAAGGACACAATGTCGGGCCGAGCCCCCAAACCTACACTACAACAGCATGTCTGGCAGTCTAACCACGGGGGAGTAGACATTAATTTCTCCAAAGAGAGAACTTTTAGAGACTTTTACCCCCCCCCC